CGTCGACTTGGCAGCCGAGGAGGCGGCCGAGGTTCCCGGCCTAGGCAGCGGCGCCATCGCAGAAGGCGTTCGTGGAACCGCGGCGGCCGTCATGCCCGCAGAAGGCGTCGCGGCGGACCCCGGGGCGGCCGAAGCCTTGGGTACGCCGGTGCCGCCAAAGTGGGCCGCAAGCGCTGCGGCAAGCGAGGCTTGCGACGGCATCGGACCGTCGCCGAGGATGCTCCGCAAAGTTGCCTGCGAGACGGGAGCGCCGCTCTTCACATTGCTGCTTGCGGAAGCGGCGGCGGTCCCGGTGCTCGTGGCTGCGCCCGAGCTCGGTCTGGCCGACGCAGATCCAGGACGCACGATGGCGTTGATGGAGCTGAGCAGGCTCTCAAGCGAGCTGTCGCTGGCCTTGCCATTGGCACTGGTGCCGACGCTCCTCGGCGTGGCCGCAGTGACTCCGGCCCTGGACGACAGCGGCAGCCCTGCGATAGGCCTGGCGGAATCGGCGTTGGATGGCCGGGTCGCAGCCGCTGTCGCGCTCGGCTTGGCCAGGCGGTTGGGACCAGCAAGTGGCGAGGCGGCCGCCGACGACTGCGACAGCGGCGTCTTGCGCGAGGTGAGCGCGGATGCAGCAGCCTTGGCGGCTGCCTGCGTCGAGCGAGAACGAAGCCGAGTCACCTGCGCGCGGAAATCCTGCGGGTAAATGCGAGGTTGCCGATAGAGGAGCGGGGCGCCCGAGGCCTCGGTGACCGCCGGCGAGGACTGCAACAGCTGGGCCTCGAGGTCCTTGACGAGGTCGATCAGCTCGCCCTTGTCGAGCAGGGAGAGGAACTCGTCCTTGAGCTGCTGCGCTATCTCTGTACCGGCGATGCGAGGCCGGAGGCTGCTGGCGCTGGCGGTCCTGGCCTGCTCGGAGAGGGCGCTGCCGGATCGCGGGATGCCCGTGACGGTGAAGTGGGAGCTGGTCCGACCGGAGGCGGTCCCGAAGAGCTGAGAGAGGCCGACCCCTCCGACTCCTCTGGCCGTCAGCGTGCCGCCGGCATCGGTCTTAAACCGCTTCCGCGCTGCATCGTCGAGGGCGGCGGAGGCAGGCGAGGAGAGGGGCCGCTTTTTGGACGGCGACGAGCTTGACGCTGCCGAGGGGCGCGGAGCGTGCGACGGAGGGTCGGGATAGGCGGTTGAAAACGAGTCGTCGGCGGCGGAGGCTGGCGGCTTGGGTGCGCGGTAAGGCGTGGGGAGCTGCTTTGCCCGACTACTGAGGCTCGCGCTGACTGTCGGAGCCGCAGCCGTCGTCGTGGATGTTGTCGTGGATGCCGTCGTGGCTGTCGTCGTGGATGTCGCCGTTGCTGCAGGGGCTGGCGTTGTCGTCGTCGGCCGCGGCCGCGGCAGAGGTTGGGCGGAGGGTGCCTGCGGTGTGCGAGACGGTGTCGAGGGCAGTTGTGCGGGAGCGGATGGACGCGAAGGCGAGGCGACCGCAGCCGCAATGTTGTGCGGAGAAGCAGCAGCGGAGGCGGATGCTAGCCTGGGGCGTGCAGCATCGTCGGGTATTGGCCTGGAGGCTGCAGCATCGTCGGATGCGCTAAGAGCAGGAGGTTGCGAGGCGGAGGCAGCGCGCGTGGGTTCATGAGCACCGGCTTCGGGACGAGCGGCCGAAGAGGTGGCCGATGGGGTGGCAGGGGCGGGCGCGTGTGGGTCCGAGGACGACGACGAGATCGCGGGTGGCAGGGACGCAGAAGCAGGCGGTGGCGGTGGCGGTGGAGGTCGAGCCGCAGCCACCGTGTGCGATGATGAGGGCGGTCGGGGTGGTGCCGAGGATGCGGGGCCAGCGTTGGATGGCGTTGGCGGGGAGGAAGGTGCTGGCGGTGGTATCGCTGGTTCCGATGCCGAAGGCGGTGGTGGCGGCGTCGATGGCTGGTGCTGCGGCGGGGGTATGGATGGTGGCGATGGGGGCGATGGTGACGAGGCGCTGGCGTTGGTGGCGCTGGGGTTGGTGGCGGTGGCGGTGGTGGTGGCGGCGGGAGCCCCGGTAGCGGCCGCCGACGTCGACGGCGACGGCGACGACGACGACGGGCCGGGTGATGGCGAAGGGCCCGCCGCGGCCACCGTCATGGCCATGCCGTGGCCTGGCGTGGCGATGGCCGTGGCCGTGGCCGTGACCGTGGCGATGGCGTGGGCGAAGTGGTGTAGTTGCTAGGACGGCGGCGGGGCGATGGTGCTTGGTGTCTGACCCATACGCCTGCCGGGATGGGGGAATATTTTTTGCAGTTCTAGGATTGCGGATGCGGAGTGGTGGATGGCGAGCAAAGAGCTGTACAGTTTTTGCGGTTGCGCGGCGGCCGGAGACTTCGGTCGGCGGCGAAGAGGGCCGCGGCGATGGATGGATGGAACGAGGGCGAGGGCGAGGGGGGAAGCAAGGCAAGCCAGCCTCACCTGGGTTAGCCTTTTGGCCTGGCCTGGCCTGGCCTGGCCTGGCCTGGCCCCACGCCCGCACGCGCGCCCTGCAGGCCTGCCGGCAACCCGAACCGCGTCCCCTGCCTGCATCTCGAATTTTTGGCGCCAAGTCGCGACGAGCCTCCACGCCCGCTCGACGCACCCAGACAGGGCCAAGCCAGGCCAGGCCCGATCCGCCTTGCTTGCTCGCCAGCCGGGCCCAGCACCGAGCGTCACCACAGATCCCAGCTGAGCACGCCACCCGGCCCGTCCGTCCGTCTGCGCTTCGGTCTCCTCCAGCCAGTCCGGAAGAGGGTGGCGCATGCCCCCCTTCGCAACGACCGGATGCATCTGGCAACCAAAGTGCGACTGCGACGTAGCTTCAACACGACAAGAGGTAGATGACGACAGCGATGGGGCGATAGAAGTACACGGCTCGTCGAGGCCCAGGTCTGGAGCGAAAACTAAACGGGGTTGGGGCGTCGGTAGTAACTAGGCAGTGTCCGTGGTGCGGTGCGACCGGCACCACCTCTCTTTCTCCTCTTCTTCTCCTTTCTCCTTCTCAAGGGTATAGCGCGCAGGGTATTCAGACAGCCGCGATGCGCGACCCACGCGGCTGCTGCTGCTGCTGCGAGCGCTTCGACGAGCGGCCCAGACTCGCCGTCCACCGGCTCGGGGCGGGCGCCAGCTTGGCCTCGCCTCGTCCACCACCACCACCAGCGGGGCCGGCTGGGATGGTGATGGGCGAGACGACGTCGCGGTGCAGCAGGTCGCTCTCGGACGCCCCAAACAGCTTGCTCAGGTCCTTGCGTCCGTTGGTCCGGATCGTGCCCCGCACCTTTGTCCCTTCGCCCTCCGAGTCGAGCCCGTTTCGATCCTCGCCGTCGTCGTCCTCTTCCTCCTCGCTCAGGTCAAAGAAGCTGTGGTGGTGCTCGGCCGCCTGCGACGGTCGCGAAAAGCCCAGCTGGCTCCCGCTGCGGGCCGAAGTACCTTGAGGCTGCTGCTGCGGCTGCTGCTGCAGCGTGGCATGCGGCTCACCACCACCACCGCTAGGCTGCCTCAGCATCCCCACGCCGCCCGCGTGCGGCTCGGGCGACTGGCCGCCCTTTGCGAGCAAGCTGGCGGCCGACGCGTTGGCGCTCGGGCTGAGGATGCGCCAGAAGCTCGAGCTGGTGCGGCCCTTGGACTCCTCGCTGGCAAAGCTGGGCGTCGCCGACCGAGGCGCCTCGCGGCCCGCCAGGTCCATGGCCGCCTTGCGCCGCGGGCTCGACAGGTCCAGGAACATCTCGGCGCGGCCCGACGGCGACTCGGTCGAGATCGACATGCGCGAGCTCGGCCGTCGCTCCCCGCCCCGGCTCGCCAGTCGCTCCTCCCACGCTGCGGGCAGACGCGGCGACTCGAGATCCCCTCCCGCGACGGCGTCCTTGGACCGCTTCGAGAGCTTCTTGCCGCCCTTGAGGATGAACCGGTTGATGGCGCTCGTCGACTTGCTGCTCGAGGACGCCGCCGGAGCCTGGACCGGTGCCGGTGCCGACGATGGAGCCGAGGTCGGAACAGAAGCCGCAGCTGGTCCGACGGCTGTCGATGGAGCCGGCGTCAAGGTAAGCGACACCCTTTCCTCGGCCACGTCGACAGAGGCGGCAGGAGGGGCGGCGGCGCTGGCGGTCGTGGCACGGATGAGGTCGATCGAGCTGCCGAGCCTGCCCGTGATCCGCGCCTTGAGCGTGCCGATGCGGCTCGGCGACCGCTCGAGGCCAACGACGGCACCGTCGAGGCGCTGCTCGTGCGCGTGCGACGCCAGCGAGGCGTTCGAGGCGTTGGCGCTGCTGCGGAACGGCAGGGGCAGCTGCTCGATGGAGCCGGCCGCATCGCTGCCCAGCCGCTTGAGGGCCGGCGAGAGCCGGTCGAGACCCAGGGTGTCGTACGACACGTCCGGGCTGGGCGGGATAATCTCGCCGATGCCCGGAAGCGAGACCGTCTGGCTGCCGGATCGCACCATCATGTTGAACGGCAACGGCATGACCGTGATGCGGCCCTCGCCTTCGATGCCGCCGCCGCTGCTGCCGCCGCCGCCGACGCGTGCCCGGCCGCCGTTGCGGTCGTCGTCGCTGGCATCGTCGGCCAGGAAGTCGCCGAGGAGCTTCTCGGGGAACTCTTCGCGCAGCTGCGTCTGGCCAGGCGCAGCGGCCACCGTCTCGTCCAGGCTGGCCATGCGGGCGGGCAGCTGGGGCCGCTGCGGCGTCTTGCGCCGGTTGCTCGGGTTGGCGGTGCGCGGCGACGAGCGGCGACGAGGGTGGCTCTCGGACCGCGGAGACTCTCCCGGCGAGCCG